ACATGCTTTTCTTTGCTAATCAGATCTATTGAATCCTAGCAACAATAGGCTCTCATCCTCTGGCCACCCAAGCAGTGCATGCGCGCGCACACACACAAACACACACACACCAGTATCAACAGATCATGAGTTCAGCCTTTTGTGTTTTCCCTTCCTCCATTGATCTCACCTTCACACTCAGGTCAGGAGTTGGCGCAGCGAGATTGTGTTATCTGGACCATCAGCTGCTATCTGGGCCGCACACACTGCTCTCTCACACCCAGAGAGGAGGGAAAGGGCTCGTCTAACCACTCTCACATTTACGGACGCCGCCTCACACAGAGAAATGTTGTGTTGTAAAATGAAAATGTACAGATAGCAACAACATTCCTTTCATATCAGTCCTGCTGCAATCTCAGCATTCTTTAGCAAACCTATAAACTGTATGGTGGATCACAYAAAAAGTGATGTGAATCTGCATTTATCAAACAAATTATTTTTGACAGAATGTTAGTTATTGTTGTTAGTTTTGTAAGCTTGTGCTTTTTTTTAGACTTACTTCACTAGTTTGTTGCCTCCTGATTTTGATCATTTATAATGTGAACGCGAAGTTGGTTTCCATCATTTTGTGTTTGCATAAGAATCTGTCCTAAACAACCCAAAAAGTTATCCCTTGAAACATTAATAATTAGGTTTTAGTATCAATGTGGCTTTACATAATCTAAGATAATTTTTATACCAAGGTTAGTGCTAGAATAAAATGACTTAATTGTAAGGACACCCTTAATCAAAATCATTTTTGACCTACTATTCTAGTTTTTGTCATGCATTTTGAGCCAAATGGACGTGCTCCAGTTCTGTTATAATCAGGCACGTTTTATTTTCCCAGAGCCGTGAAATTAAGTGCATCACACGCTTCCAGACAAACATCACTCATTACACAAATTTGTTCTTACATGATTGAAGCTAAATCAGCAGGGCATGCAAACCGAAATGTTACCTTTCCACTGGCAAATAGCTTTAGCTGTTACAGTGTGTGTGTGTGTGTGTGTGTGTGTGTGTGTGTGTGTGTGTGTGTGTGTGTGTGTG